CCCCCCCCGCCCTTTTCTTAGCTTTTATTGCTGAGCAGACATCATATGGTATGGAATATCCCTTTGTCCAGTTTGGGTCAGCTGTCCTGGCTGTGTCCCCTCTGAAGATCTTGCCCAGCCCCAGCCTACTGGTGAGGGGGGAACGTTGGAGAGACAGCCTTCATGCTGTGGGAGCACTGCTCAGCAGTAACCGAAACACTGGGGTGTTAATACCACCTTTCTAGCTACCAATATGAAGCATAGCACTATGAGGGCTGCTATGGGGAAAATCAACTCCATTTTAGCCAGACCCAATACAAGGTCTCCACAACTTTGCTAGTGGGCATAAACAAATGCCATTATTATTTAAATACAAAGAGATGATAGAAACAGAGAGAAATTAACTTATTTTCTGAAGAACATGCAGTGAGGTAGCCAGAAATAGAAGCATTGTATTTTAGATCTATGTTCAGATAAAGAAACGGCCAGCAATGAGTGAGGGTTTTGAACCAAGTTGAAAACAAGACTTCTCTTTGGGATGGGTCAGCTCAAATCTAACACCACCACACCTACACTTTCAGAGATGGGTGAAACTGGATTTAGAGAACAGACTCCTTTGAAGAGGTGGTTGAGCTCAGCAGTTATGCCACTAGCGCCAGCTGGCAAACTAGCCCCCTGCTTGTGGCTTTATAAATAGAAAAGTTGATTTCCCACAGGGCCAGCTCTAAAGATAATGCCAAAAATCAAGGGTGACTGCATGGTCCATGGGTCTGGAAAATCAAGAGGCTTGTCCAGCACACAGAAAAACTTGCAGGAGGAAATTGTACTTCATGAAGTTTCTGCCATTCCTGTTCATACTGAATTTTTCACTGTGTTTAGACCCCAAAGATTACTCCCGTAGCTGGGAAACCCTCATCTCACTTATCTACCTTATGTTTTGACAAAAATGGCCCTACTCCTCTGAAATGAATGGTCTGAGGGAACTCCACTGACTACAGGCCTTTTCAAGATGAATTTGAACACATTAATGTAATCTTGATCCAAAGCACATTCCCTCAATGCCAGCTTCACTGGTGTCATTCAGGTTTCTGTATTATTTTTGGATTACAAACACACAGGAAAAGAACTGCGACAATAAAAAACAATATTTTTGAGTGTATGACCTCCTGTGGATAGCTCTCAGGTATCACAAGCTTTCACTTTGATCTATCAGAAGTTCGAGAACAAAGATGTGAAAATACAATATAACAAGAGATAAAGAGCAGCTTCACATTGACCAGCAATATTTAAATCTGCCTTGAGAAATCATGGTGTTAACATAATGTAATTAGCTGATCATTACTAGCAATGATGAAAGACACTAATGATCCAAAGCTGAAGTTCTGCTTGGATTAGTAGCAAAGACCATGGATCAATTTTAAACAACAGCAAGAAAATCCTAGTCTAAAATTCTTGGTCTTATTGGGCACATATAACTTGTCTGGAAAGCTTCTAAGACATTCATATGGGATTTCCTCTGCTTTCTTGTTTCAGACAGCCAGAAATAGAAATAACGACAGAGCAGGACCCAAATCCAAATGGGAACCCCAATCCCTTACCTGTGTCTACCAGGGAGGCGCCACAAACAAACAAAAGACCAAAACAAAACCCCAGACCCCAGCTTTGTATATCAATCACAATTCTTTTGCACAGACGACCACGGAACCGAGACTTAAAGGAAAACTTCACCAAAGTTCACTAGACTCCTAAATACAAACCACCAGAGCAATCAGTACCATGGGTCAGAAATGTAATCCTGCAGCCAAATGTCATCTGTAATCCATAACCTGGTATCCTAGAGAAACCAAAGCATACATGATCACACTAACAACTAGTCCTCACCCTTTTGAATCCATGGACTGATTTTAATGAGATAATGGTCTTAAAGATATTAAGGTTGTACAAGTAATGTGAAATTGGCTGGGGGGAGGGAAAGAAGATCTGTATGAACTTCCTTACTGAAGGAAAACTGTGAGAACAAAAAAGATAATTATTGTTCTTGAACTGCCATGTGCCTAGTGACCTTTCACACTGCAGTCAGTTACTGGGGCTCCTGAACATACCACAGGAGGAGTCCAGTACTAAGGTTGTTGTTGAGAAGGGAGCCATTTGGGCATAGAACACAGAATTCATTAGCTTCACAGCTCAAAGAACAGTTTCTTGTTTGATTTTTGTTGCTGTTTTCACTCTTTTGTTTTTAAACAGGGAGGAATAAAAACACTAGAGCCCAACATCTCCTGAACTCAGCCATCTTTATCTCTGGAGGGCATTAAGTTTTAAAAGCACCGACCCTCTGTTGAGTGGCTGGAGCCAAGATGCAGTGGTTAGTCTTGTAACCACACAGGGATATGAAATGAAACTTTATTTCACGCACAATTTAGGCCTACAGACTTCAGGCATTAGCTTGCTTCATGCTCAGCAGTTGTTCTTCCCTGCTATTCCTGTGTTTGGCTAGGAACTGGATCTCTTCCTCCTCTTCCCTATATCTTCCTCCTTCACCTCTCCAGATTTGGCTGAAAGGAGCGATTAAGTCACTGTCAGGAAGGAACTGGCAAGCAGGAAGACTGATCATCCCAACTGCCTCAGCCTCCCACCTTGGGAAGGTGCAAAAGCTGGTGACTGGTGTGGGGAAGGGAAGTCAAGCCTCTCATCTCAACCCACAAACCCAAGTGGTTCAAATGCTATGCCAGGAGAGAAAAGGAGGAGAGACTGAGAGTAACTACCAGGTGGCGTTACTTCCCACAGTGCCTGAAATGGACGGTCAGGGCTGAAGCTTGCAGGCCTACAAGCAGGGCTAGGAGGCCACCGTACAATCCCAGAGTCTCCTAGAGCATAGACTACACTTTTTTCCCAGTGCTTTGGAAAATAATTTCTGAGGTTAACTTGAGGGAAGGGAGCTAAAGAGGGCCAGGTCTGGTGTCAAGAGATCAAGCGACAGAGAGAAGGAGTGAAGGAGGAGAGTGCTGTTTCAGCTGGGGGCTTACACTATACTGACCCTTCCCCTCAGATCCTCTGCACCAGACCAGGTAGCTGTCTCCAAGAGTGGCACACTTAAAGACAGAATGGATAACAAGCAATGTGTTTCTTGCATGAAGGACTTGCAAAATAGACCAATAGATGTACCCAAGGAGTGCAGAACAAGTAGCAGGCTTGTGGGGAGGAAAAAAAAGACAAAAAAAAAAAAAAGAAAAAAAAGAGAGAGAGGAAATCAGATGGAGAATAATTTTGAGGATTTTCCAGTGATAATGTCATTTCAGAGGGCAGGTCAGCAGTTAAAGAGCGTTTTCTCATTCACTGAATGATGGAGTTTCCTAAATGCCTGTAATGAAACATACGGATTTGTCAGGAGTGCATCAAAACGGAATGACATCTTCCAGGTAAACGGCAACAGAAGAAAAAGCAATATAAAATATTGTCAGACCACCTGTCATACCCCTCCTCACAAAAAGCCACTCTGCATCTTTCATAGCTGTTCAGGCTGTTGCTAACTACAATTCAGAAACCTCTCATTGCTCTTCCTAGCTAAAGTGTGGGGTTCAGATCAATTTAGTTATTGCAAAGAAGGAAAATTGCAACTTTTCAGTCCACCCCTTAAATACTATTCCCCCCCCTGATTTTTAGTATGATTTACGGATACATAATCAGGGTGGGGATTTGAGACTCATGACTTCATCTTTCTCACACTGTCTGGTCAGCTGTATCGCTTCTCTGTGCTTCGAATGTAACCCAATGCAGAGCAGGAAAGCTGAGACGAGGGAGGAAGGCAGGCTCACCTGTAGACTAAACACACCAACAATACATTCTGTGGGGACCTGAGGCAGACACCACCACGACCCTGGTCCCCCCAAAAGAGTATTTATTCCAATTCTAAATCCAGATTAAAGATACTAAAAGACATCTGAAAAATGCCATATCTTTAAATGCCATAGTAACTGTTTTACTGCTAAAAGCCTGTTTACTGGAAAAAAAGGACCACCTTAGCTAGCATTCAGATAATGCACTGGGAGTATACAGGACTTCTGCACATGGGAGGGAAGGCAGCTCTTTTCTGAGTGGTGATAAAGTGTCCAGTTTCCCCAATGGTAACACTTGGGCTTTTCAAGGAAATTTTCTACCAAACATATTTTGTATTTTATATTATAATCAGTTACACTTTTTATTGCAAAGGGATTTACTTATATTACAGTTAGATCCAGGGTGCAACAAAAGGAGCAATACAAATTGCCTGAGGCATTTAGATACTTGAATTGTACTGCTTGTGCTTTATCGAATAAGGTAACAGTGTTCAAACACATCACAGTTGCTGGCTTGTTTAACATTTTGTTCCAGTTAATGTGTCTGCAGTTATGCCCAAATTCAAAATAATATCTTTATGCTAAAGCACCTGGCAAATTTCTTACAACCTTGCACATCAAGTGGATGCAGAAATAGCATTTAGATCCCTTTTTTTTGTTCACACAGGAAGAGGACGTCACTGTGTAAGACATGCGTTTCCAGAGGGAATAGAGAAGGGTCATGCTGCTTCTTCAAAATCTGACTTGCTCTTGAAGCAGAAAAAACCTGGGGCAGTTCAGTACATAGCCTTTGTCAGCCACCAAGCATAGCACTACTCAAAGCAAAAGACCTTACCAGATTATGGGCGGGTCTGTAGTATCTGCTGCTATTGACTTATATTCAGATTTTGTTATTTGCTAGCAAGTTTGCAGGTATGAATTTGAGTAGGCCATTAAGAAGGTGCAAATGCATTTTCTTGCAACACATAAATTTATATGGATACACACATTGGAGTTGCGGAAAAACAATTGAGTTACAGGCTACAGTTCCTTAATGTGTAATGTTGTCAGTTAAAAGTTTAGCTACATATCTGGCTTCTCCTTTAGGCACAGAATACATATCTTCAGAAAAGGAGCCTCATTTGATGGGGATGGGGTCCTTACAGGCTTCTGTTCATGGATTCACATGTCAACTACAGGAACTTTGTAGTGTTTTCAGAAGGCCCAGCTGAAAATTGAACTGTTGTTGTTTGCCCCTTTAGGTATGGTGAATACAAGACATCAAATAGGATTTATAAAAAGGCTACTGTTAAATCTTGGTAGTAAAACCAAGAGAAACCCATGTCCTGATGTTGCCAAGAAGTGTCTCCCACTCCAGCCATGCAACATCTTCTCTCTAAGCTAAGATGAACCTTTTCCCCTTCCCCCATCTTATCAAAGGCATCTGTTCTTTTCCTAGGCTTGTGTGGTCGATGTTAACCTAAAACCAAGTTAGTGATCTTCATTATAGTATAGAATACACTAGAAAACACTTTATTTGAGGAAAAAAAAAATACATTCAGAAAGATGGTTCTTCCAATGCCTTCCTATAAGAAAATTCAAAATAGTGAGTAGTCTTCTCAGAGCACTACGCAGCACCTCCAAACCATCATTCTCTTAGGAAGAGCAACACATGTTCCAAATGGTTTACAATCCAAGAGAAGAGACTACATGTAAGAGGACAAACATAGAAAATCAAGCAGTCCAACTATAATCCTACTGGCATGGACAACACAAACAAGTAGAGATGATCACAACAATCTGTCCTTTTGGGAAGTTTACGTGTCAGAGTTTCCCATAGAATAGAGTCTGAGTTCTATTAAATATTAGTTGCATGTGGTGTTTTCTAATGGTAAAAATGTTGCAAGATACAGGAATGCAAGATTTTTTTCTTTTCCCCAAAATGAACAAAAGCCCTTTTTTTTTCAGGGAAGGTATTCTAAAATACTTGTCAAAAATCTACACATGTGATGCTTTCATGTAACAAATGAATAGGTTTGTTAAAATATTCAGGTTGAGCTTCCCATCAGAACCGAACAGAAGATTTCATTAGTCCTGAATGCAGTTCCATATCCATTGAGTTAGCCTCACGCCTCACATCCCTACAGGGCGCTCCCTAATGAATTGCCTTTCCAGTAAGATACTTGTTCTTTAATGATTTGCCACATGAACCTCTCTTGGAGGTTCAGACCTCGTTGGCAATCTGAAGGACATCACCAGACTCCTATTCCATTGCAACGATTGCTAGCAGAACAAAAATCATGGATTAACATAAGTGACATCATCTAATCTGACATCATCAAAAAATGTCAGTATGCATAAACAATCTAGCTGAGGAGAGCAGAGAGGGTTTTGAACAGCTATCCAGCAGCCAGAGCATTTGAAGTTTAGTACGAGGTTGTACAGCTGTTATGATATTGGCATTCATCCATTTGCCCAGAGCTCTGTAGTCTACTCCTCCTTCTGAAACATAGAAGACAATTCTGTGCAAACTCTGGAACTATTTTCCCTCTTAATTGTGTTAGAACATAGTCATTCAGTCAGCCCTTTTCTTAGGCTACAAAGGGCAGCTGGTACAACTTGTGGTCATGCAGTTTTTCTTCTCAGGAAAAACTCCCACCCATAGGTAGGGGAATTATGCTGGCTGAGAACTTAAGCTATTCTGCACTCAGTAGTCAATGGCTATTGATACAGCAGTGACAGGGCAGTTTACATTAGTTAAGATGTTCAGCCTAGTCTGTTCCTACATCTAAGCCAAGGACACTGAGGGTAGGTAGATGTCTTCTGCTTTTCACCTCAGATGTGAGATCTCTGAAACATTTGGACATACTTCAGAAAGTCCATGCGTGCATGGGTGTTTGTTTTTGCAGATAGACAGGTATCATATCCATGTATCTTTAAAAGGCATGGCATAAAAGCCAACTTTTTAGGGAAGTAAGAAGAACTCATGAGCTGTGCTCTCACTTGGGGTCTCTAAATGTGTAATTTGGGTGCTGTTGTAGGAATTGCAGGGCAGTTCAACCTGCCAAGGGACATCCATAAGAGCTTTGGAAGGAAGGCAAGTTGGACAAAATCAGGGGCCTACAGAGTCAGTCTTAAGATGGGGAAACACTATTGTGTTGGCAGAGATTACTTCAGTGACAAGCATCACTAGAATAATTTCCCTGTTTTTTAAAAAAGCTGTGCCTAATGTGGCTGGCTCCAAGTCAATTCTCAGGAAGCCTTCAGAGCTATGTCCTTCGGTAAAGCTACTGCTCTTCTCCAATTATTTTTTCTCCTTAACCTCTAAGAGTTAGAAATAGACTACTGCGTTAAAAATCCTTCTTGATATAGAAATACAAGGGAAAATGAATTTCCATTCTCTTGAGCAAAAGTTGTTCATATCCTCTCAGAAGTAGCCTGTTTTGGGACAGAAACACAAACTGCAACCCTAGAGGTATGAGTTCTGGGTAACTGAAAACACAGAGTCAGAATAAAACCAGCTACATACAGCATTAATGGCAGCTTTTTCGCTGGGATACTCAGACCATCCCAACAAGGCCATTACAGACCTTACAAGCATGGCCACCCCATTCTAAGGCCTAGGCTCTTCTAAAATGTGTTTCTTTTCTCTTGCTGTTCTTTACTGCTTTTAACTTTTGATTGAAGAGCCACACACTGCATCTTCCCAGAATAAGATGACAGCAGGGAGGCAGCCTTAAGCCATACAGCACTCCTGGGTGGTGCCAAGCCAGATGGGATTTGCTGGAAAACATTTTTATAATGCTATTTTATAAATGGTTTGTTTCATTGAAAGGTAATTATCCTGTGAGATAAAGCAAGATCTTGGTGCACTGAAGTCTAAGGCAAAACTGCATTTACTTCAAGAGGTCCCAACTTTTTATGCCACACATTTTCAGTTCTTGTCATGTCTTCTTTGGTTTTTTTTCAGTGATTTCATCAAAATCTTCTGATGATAGCACTTTCAAGAAAAACCATGAAGCTTGGAAGTTTTTTGAAGGTAAAGATACATCTAACTGCTACTGGTTCTATACAAGATGTTAGCTTAGTCCAATGCTATGGGACAACTAAAGTGCCCCAATCAGGACCAATTTTGCTAGTTCCTGTGCAAACTCAGGCCTTGCCTGAGAAACCATCCCACACAGTACGAGGGATGCTGGAGAAAAGAGAATGGAATGCTCCAGCTTCATTTCCTCATGTATTTGTTATAGTCAGTAGGAAAATAGCCTATGTCTGGCTAATCACACAAATGCAGACCCTTATCCAGGAAGTTGCTGAGCATGTCGGAAGACGTACCAAGCACTCTATGCTCCTACTAGCTGTAGAAACTGCTCACCAAACGCGCTCTGCACTGCAAGAGCAGCTTAAAGCTCCCTTGAGTTTCAAGGTAAACAGTATTTTCTGGGTAGATTAGTGGACGACTGTTCCAGGAAGCTGAAATTCAGAATTTTCACACAGTTGGGATTCCCTCCTCCTCCTCCTGCCTGAATCTGGAGAACCAGTGAAGCCCCAGCATGGCATTTGCAGCCCCTGCACTGCTGCCAGGCAGGAGTGCTCACTTGCAGGATGGCCTTGATGCTGTGGGGAGCTTTGCTGTGTAAATCACAATTTACAAACTATATTGCTGTACTGCATAAGGGAAATAAAGCACAGAACTGCAGGTCAGGGGTCTAGTTCCAGCAACGCTATTTTCTAGAAGAACACTTGAACTCTGAGGCTTAGCTTCCTCTCGGTGAAGCAGGAAAGAAGCCAATATGCCTCCCTAAGGACATTTCAAGACATTAATGGGTAGAGCATCCTTAAAGTACTCTATTTAGAGTTCTGGTAAAAGCAGAAATAAGTCATTAAAGATTTCTTCTCCTCTGGACAAAATACTCCATCTTGATCTGCCATGGTAGAACGCCTGTCAGCTCCACTAGGAATTTGTTATGGCACCTGAATGAAAGCCCTAAAGGGAGACTGAGGCTGTAGATTGAAAAGGACAAAAAAATAAACAAAAATTTCAAGCCAGTGCTGCCACTAGAAGAAGCAATTGCAGATTCCTTCCTTCCCCCTCAGCCACTCAGCACTGTCCTCACCGCCACTTTTCTTGGTTTTTTGTTTGTTTTTTTAAAAAGTACATCTGTTTGAACTGGGAAATAATTCAACTGAATTCCTTTTGGTTTTTGGTTACCAAAAAAAAAAAAAAGGCAAACCCCCAAACCAGCCCTTTCTTCCCTCTCAAAAGTAAGCCCTCTTAGATGTAGTTACACCTATTTGCATTTATGGAGACTTCAACCAAATTATAAACTGATTAGGATACTATCTGAAAGTTTCAAGAGGGTTAAATTACTTCTGAAGTGTTAGCCTAAATCTTTTGGGATGGGGTCTATTTAGACCTTATAGATGTAACTTTTTTCTATCCTGTAAGCATGAAGTGTACAGCTGCAACACTGACTGTCATCTATGCTTGGCTTTCAGATCTGTACGTGTATGCAGTGTTTGTGTGTTCAATAGGAATCATCAGTGTCCTCCTTTTTACACTTGTCATTCTCTGTCAGTCACTTCTGAACAAGAGGAGATCCACAGGTGAGTGAAATGTCATTCTTGCTGACTGCAAGGCCCTTACCCAAGAGGGTGAGGGGGGAGAAGGAGAATGCAGAAAAAGCAGGAGAGAGAGAGATCTCCTTGCCTTGATTTTAATAAAAACAAAAAAAAAATTGGTAGAAAAAACCATTTCTGCCAGCAAAACTTGAACAAAGGCATTTTGCCCCCTTTGAATAGCTATTTCACTTTATATTTGCTTTGGACTTTTCAAAATCTTTCAGCTTTGCATAAACATAAATTGAATGTTGTTGGAACTTCTTTCAAAGAAGACCAAGTGCTGTATCATTAAGTTGCATTCTGATTAGATCTAGCTAACATTTTGCATGAGTGACATTTCTGCAGACACTTAGAGGGGTTTCAAAGCAGTCTTATTCTGTTCTGTTTTCTTCTCCCTTCCTGACTAGCTGTCAATATTCTTGGGAATATGGGTGTTGTTATTAGCACTCTCTCTTTGCAGCATTCTTTGAAACTAAAGCATCATTTCATCATTCAGATCTGCCTTTTCATAATAATCTTTCAAGATCAAGGATTACTGTTTCATTCTTCTCTTCCTCAGAGAAAGTTTCTCAAAGAGGCTACATCTGCATGAAAGCAGCCCTGTTGTAATCAAAAGTGCTATTTCAGATCTGTGGAGTAGCCAGTGCAGGCTCTACTTTCATTTCGGTTTAAGAGTGTTTTATTTAGAGACTTCACACAAGCAGTGAGGATGAGATACCAGCATGCTTAGCAGCCACCATGTTAGAGGAGAGGGTAAAGACCATGTCTAAAGAGAAGCTTTCAAAAAGAGTTTGGTTAGTGATTTGTCCTGTTAATGACAGGAGAGATTCGTGACTTTGCTGCCTCTTCAGCACTACACACATACCACGAAGGAATGAATGACTCAGATACACGAGGGAGAAGACATGTAAACCAAAAATAGACGTATACAGAAGTCCTTGCCCACAAACACATTACAGGCTGTGGCTCCGTCTTCCCGCTAGTGCACTCAGTAGAGTAACTCTGATTCTAACTGAACCCAACAACTCTGCTTGCCAAGAGGAAGGAGCAAGATCAATGTTATTCTTCCTGCCCTGTTAAGTGATGACAAAGGTTTTGTGCCAAGGGAGTACCACACTGAAGTATGTTGGTCACGGTGAGTCACCCTGAAGCCACAAGCACTAGACAGACTGATATATCCTGGTTTTTCTTGAGCAGACATTGGGCTGGATTTTGCTTCTGTTTTTGTTGATTTACACTGGTGTAACTATACAAGCAGCTTGGAGAAAAGGTCTCTTTACATTGAACCAACATCAGTTATATATAGAAATAATACAGAATAAGCATATACAACAGAGAAAAAGTAATTTCTTCTGAGCTGCTAAATCCTTTCTTCACTACTCTAATATCTGAATAATTGCAGGCTTCACCAAATTTTTATTTAGATTTTGAACAGTATCCAGTAAACACTGGCAGCATTAAACTTATGCATTCAATGGAAATATAACAGAATAAAGCTTAGCAGGCAGGCACTCAGTATACAATGATTAGATTTTCAGGCAAGTCTTTCAGCCAGGACCACCTGATCAGAGTATTTTCTGGAGCCACACTGATTGGCCCAGCATCCAGTCAAGCATCAGCGAATTAAAATTTCTGAAGCAGCAGTGGAAGAAGCATCAGTGATGGACACAGTCTCCACCAGCCCAATATTGCTTTTGCTCCCCACAGCCTCTGGGCCGTGGCAGCAAGCTTAGCCCTGAACTTCTGCCCCAGGGAGCAGCAGTTCCCTGGGAGGTGCTGTTTCCACTCAGCCACATGGGCATGGGGCACAAAGAGACTGCTCTACTCTCAACACCGTTCTCCCCTCTCCAGAGGCACCTTCCAGAGGTTAGGGTCTGACCACAAGATACCCACCTTGTCAGCCAACAGCAGTGCTCTGTCATTCAGACTGTTAGAATAAGGCATTGGTCCTCAAAAAGCATTATCTTACCTCCTCTCCACTCTCATCACTCTGCACCTCCATCCTGGCTGGACTAGAGAGATGCTAGTATTCATGTGAAAGGAGCCTGCAGTGAAGTCATGAAGTCCATCCTTCCTTGAGAAAATGAGAAAAAACAGGAACAGCACAGCAATCCTCCCTCTGCATCACTCCAAGCCTCCAGGCAGGCTCCAGGCACAGCCACCTTCTACCTTCAGTGAGGTGGTTGCCGCTTCATCTTCCTCAGAGGCCCTCCAAGAGAAGCCTGGCTCTGCTCTTCCCCTTGAGACCAGGTCAGGGGCCCAGGACAACCAAAACTATCTCCTTACCTCATCTTGCTGGGCAAATTTCTATCAGGGCTTCTCCCTGAACCTCTCTGGTCACCCACCCCTGTCACAGGGACACCAACATCTCCCTCCACTCTCCCACCAATCCAGCTTCCTCCTCCAGTTCCTCAGCCCTAACACCACAAGGAGGATAACCTAACCTAACCTAACCTAACCTAACCTAACCTGCCCCACCTCACCCCATCTCCCCTACAGGGGGTGGAGGCAGACACCCAAGTGAGCACACGGAGATGAGGGAGGGAAAACTCTGCCCAGCCTTCTACAAAAACAAAGAGCGACTCATACCTGAACAAAAAATTGAGACTTGCAGTAGATAAAGCTGGAGATGATCCCTCTGGAGTGTCTGTCTGTGAAACCTGAGCAGATACTGGCTGACCTCAAGGCTCTGACATGAGAAGGGTAATACTGAACCCAGTTCCCCAGCAAAGGTTCTCCCTTGGTGTGATTGGATTGGCACTGCAGCTGGGGCTGGCCCATAGCACAGAGCACCTATGAAATGCTGTGGGAAGCAGCAATGGTTGCAGCTGGCAACCTCTCTATGGGTTTGGTAGAAGCCTATGCCCATTTGTTACAGGAGTGGTTGGTCTTCCCAATCCCTGGTTCAAAAGCTTGAAGTATTTACTGTAGGGCAAAACAAAAAAAATACATATCTAGAGACGCTCAAAAGCATGCCAACAGTGTACATGAGCATCCCCTTACTCCTGAAGGGTCAAGTCTACTCTTCTCCTGTACATCTATAAAAGGCCAGACAGATAGATGGAAGCACTGCCTTGGATAGCTTAGACATGGCCCCTCTGTTAGTCCCAGTTCCTAAGTGCTCCCAGCTCCCCTTTCCTTAGGATTAAAATGCACCCCCCTAGGAACTGTGTAGCTTCCTTAGAAAGGGAGAATTTAGGTAAGACCAAAGATGAAAATTTTCCTGTAGAGAGGGGAATAATCATGTAAGTCCACTGTCATCTGGTTTTCATGGCCTTTTAAAGAATGGAGAACATGAAGGGAGGGGGGTGTTTATGCTGTATTCAACTTCACATCGTGGCCTAGGGATGCACCCTCTTTTCCTTCTGAGAAATAAGTTGGCAGTAGGTCAACCAGAAGAGCCAGAGCCTCTCCTCCTGCCTGCATGTCTCCACACTCTGCACACGGCACAGCTTGGGCAAAGCACTGAAGCCACTAAGCCACAAAAGAGCATCTTAGTGACCCAGGCTCCTAAAAGGCAGCAGTGGGGTGAGCTGCCCTTGCTCAGGACTACTGATTCAAAGGAATATGAAGTAGAAGGATTTTATACAGCTCACATCCACAGTTGTCAGAGACAGGATAGTGGCTGGACTGGACCTCTGATCTGATCCCAGGAGGCAATGCCTCTATGCCTGAGGCCACAATCTAGCTTACATTAGGAACAGCAGTGGCTCCTGTGGGTGAATGGTTTATTTCAGGCTTCTGGAAATAAATAGAGGCACCACAAGGGAAATAAAAGTCTTCAAAGTAAAATTACTGGCCTGCTGTGCTTTTCCTTAGCAAGCTGTCTTTTGGCTGGGCTGACCACTGGAATGTGTGTTGCCCAGCACTTCCACAGCAGATTTTTCATGTTGTTTGATAGATTCCCCTCTCGCAAGCCTAGCTATGTCTTTGAGTCAGACTACATTTCAATGTGCAATATAATGTATGGTGACAATTACCAGCTCTCCCAGTGTAAGAACCTGGCAACTCCACAGTCTCAGCAACACAGGTCTATCTGCAGTGCCCATTTGTAACTCATTTACTGTGTTGGTGTGAAGCCACATTTTCTTCTTCTTTTTTTTTTCTTTAACAGTGAAGCATTACCTGGTGAAATGCCCCCAGAACAGGTAGGAGATTACACTTCTCTTTACTATAACCCAAGGCACCAGTTCTGATTTTTTTGCTATGTGTGCTGGAGAAGATATGTAATGTTTTCCAAAATGCCTACAGGAGTATAAAGAGTCCCGGGTCCATGACTCATGAACATGCCTGCAAGCCAACATCTGCTGTGCATGATAAGGGAGATCTGCCTGGGCTATCTAGCTGTAGGTCTTGCAGATGCTTCAGTGACAAGCCTTTCCTTGAGTCTCTGAATTACCTCCGGAGAAGCCTGCTTTCATCCTGTGTGGCTTTCTAGGGTTTCCCAACACCTCACCAGATAGTAAGGACTTAAAGCATCCATGTACATAGAACAAACCACAATGTTACCCAGTGATCCCCACACCCAGGAACAGGGAGTGTGGCTCAAAAGCAGATTTTCAAGGCCCACAGTCTATTCCCAGCTGAAGATTCAAAGTGATGGGAAAAATTCTACTTCTGCTTCAGCCATTAATCACTGTCCCTTTAAATATCACTTACTGCCAAAAGTTTTTGATTGTGTGGTGCTATAAAACTGATTTCCATCATATGATTTTCCTGAGATATAAATTGTGCTGGAACTGAAGTAAAAAAAAGATGACAGAAGTATTTTACAAACAAAAAGATGAAAGAGAGATGCCTTATAACAACACAGAAGAACAGCTGTTTCCCAGTTTTCAGTGACGTAAAACATGTTTCTAGCCTTGTAGTTTAAATCTAGTACCACTTGGTATCACAGATACTATTTCTCATAGTATCTTTTTAGATACTATGAGATTCAATGCCAAGTATAGCATACCCTGGATTCTCAAATTGTGTAATTTTTAATGCATTCTCATGGGATTATCGCTGTATTCAATCTAACTGACACTCGGATGTAAGTGAAGTCAACAACAAAGCAACAGAGAGTTCAGGAGAGGCCAGTACAAACTGCAACTTTCATGTTATTCATGGAAAGATCTTTGTTTGGTGACCCTGACCAGCCATTGCACCACACAAAAAATTTACAGAGACAGCTCAGCACTTTTCATTTTTCCCTGGACGTTTTCTCTTTCCCCGTCTTTATTAGCTGCTGGAACAAAGTTGGAATTACAAAAAAAGAACAAACCAAAAACAGAAAGGGGAGGGGAGGAAATAAAAGTAGATTGGTAGAGAACATAAGAAGAGGAGAAAAATGAGACTCGACTGAAAAGTTGACTGAAAAAATGGAGCATGGCAGTCAGATGAAAAGACTCGTAATACAGAATCTGCCTCTCTGGGAACAGATGATATGGTAGTGATACTACTGCAAACACTAAATTTAGGAGGCTGAATAGCAGGGGGAAAACAAGCCAACATGATTTCTTCCCTGTAAAATGGAATCTCCAGAAGCGAACGAAATGCATGACTCTATATGGATAAAAATATTTTTTCATGTATTTCAGTGTGACAAGATATGCTAATGAAAGCCCTGATCCCACAAATGCATGTCTAAAGTGCATTGACTTCAGGGATTTAAAATTAAATAGCTATGAAAGTGTTACCAGTATCATGATTTTTGTTATGTTTCACACTTGATACCATTTATTTTCCACCCTCTGTTCAAAGCACAGACCATTAATTCCTTTGAACTCATTTCTCTTCATGTGCACATTCCTTGTCTTGGAACTTAATTCAACACATTCAGACGCAAAACCTACTGTCTAAATATCCATTAGGCCAAACTGATGAACTAATTTGCATGAGATTTCTGCCAGTCAAAATGACTATGTTGTGCAAAATTCTGGCTTGATTAGAGAGGTTCAGCTCCAACTCCCTTAGTGATATTTCAAACTCAGAGCAGAATCCAGTTTCAAAATTACATTAATAGTCAGGTGTCTAAGAAACGTCTGTACTCCCACTGCAGTAATACCTAAGCATCTTAAAATATTTCATATCTTACCATCATAATGGTATTTTTACTTAATTGGAATCTGAAGCACAAAGGGCTAAGTGATTTGCCCCAGGTGTCACAAAATGGCCTTGGTAGAAAAGAAAATTAAATCCAGATTTCCTGAGTAGAATGAAGTAAATGTTTAGGCTTTGGTTTGCTACTTGACCAATAAAAAATTAAGGCAAAAAATGAGTTAACAAAAACCCACTTCTTTCCCCTATTTTAAAAAGAAATACCTAAATAGAAAGTAATGTTATTTTGGGTTTTCCAAACCACCTAATTTAATTTTATGGTGTTTTCTTTTCTTTAAATATCTTCCGTCTTATTATCTTCCTTGTTATTAGATCATTTTGTCAGTTTTCAGATGCAGAAACTGCAAGGAGGTGTGCCTTTGAAAATAGTAATTATTTTTTTCTTTCTTTTATATTTGTTTTCATCTGAATGCTCCAGTCCTTCAGTGACTGCTCTTCTGGAGACAAATAATTTGAGGTGAAAAAAATGTTCACCTCAGAAAGCTTGATACCTTGGTTCCACAGTGCCCATCTAACATCAGACTCATTCATAGAATCATAGAATCATAAAATGGTTTGGTTTGAAGGGACCTTAAAGATCACCTGGTTCCAATCCCCCTGCCAGCCCCCTCCCACTAGACCAGGTTGCTCAAAGCCCCATCCAGCCTGGCCTTGAACACTTCCAGGGATGGGGCATCCACAACTTCTCTGGGAACATCTTCCAGTGCTTCACCACCCTCACAGTGAAGAATTTCTTCCTAATATCTAATCTAAATCTTCCCTTTTCCAATTTAAAGCCGTTGCCCCTTGTTGTAGCACTACATCCCCTTGTAAAAAAACCCCTCCCAAGGTTTCTTGTAGGCCCCGTTTAGGTAGTGGAAGGCTGCTCTAAGGTCTTCCCCGAGCTGCCTCTTCTCTAGGCTGAATAATCCCAACTCTCTCAGCTTGTATTCCTAGGAGGGGTGCTCCAGCCCTCTGATCATTTTCGTGGCCTCCTCTGGACTCGCTCCAACAGGTCCATGTCCTTTTTGTGTTGGGGGCCCCAGAGCTGAAGGCAGTACTGCAGGGGGGGTCTCACGAGAGCAGAGTAGAGGGTGAGAATCACCTCCCTCAACCTGCTGGTCACACTTTTTGTGATGCAGCCCAGGATACAGCTGGCTTTCTGGGCTGCAAGTGCACATTGCTGGGTCGTGTTGAGCTTCAACCAACATCCCCAAGTCCTTCTCCTCAGAGCTTCTCTCAATTCATTCTCCACTCAGCCTGTATTTGTACTTGGGATTGCCCCAACTCATGTGTAGGGCCTTGCACTTGGCCTTGTTGA